TACCAGGTGGCAATATGAAAAGTAAATCTTACAACGTCCTACGTATATGTTTTCAATTGTTAGGAGACACAGGATCAGCAAGACAAGCTTTTATGCAATCTATAGAATTATTTCCAGATGAAAAAAACCGCTTTTCAAAGATTATCATTAATAGGCTGAATGTAAATATCGTTAGGTGAATTTTTACATACGCTTATAAGTCGAATGATTTTCTATATCTAATGCAATGCATTAAACAGTTGTATTTCAAAATTATTGTATTCGTAGTTACCGTATGTCTGATGATTTTCTGGTCTCACACATGATTGAAAATCATATGAATAATAATAATAAAAATTAATAATCTATGTTATTGCCGTATCACATATTGATTGACATACATATTATACAATAACATTAAAACATACAATCAATACACAGCCATGTCAATTTGGCTTATGAGACACAATGCACTAAAATATATACAAATATAAAAATCCAACGATACTTTGAAATTCTATATATTTAAAACTAACAAATGACGCTAAAAAAGGATGACTATGGTTTAGATACTTGTAGGGGTAAGTTTTACTTTGAGGTTCATGTACATAGACTTTCTTTTAAAGAAAAACAAGTTGGTCGTGGAAACAACATACGCTGCTGACCACGCATCGTACGTTTACAATCAAATTATCAATCGAATAGTTAAAAAACAACGTGGATTTCCGCCATTTTATACAGAAATTTTACATAATAGGCTACTGTCCTCGCAAATGTTGTTTGTGTTAACGAAATAAAACATTGTAAAAGTCAAACTTTCCAATGAACAAAAAAGTGCTTGCCAGACATTCATTTTGAAGAATATATTCAACTTTATATTTTAATTGTGAGCGAATTTCTTCAAAATTTCTTACGTAATAGGCTACTGTCCTTGCCGATTGTTTTTACATAAAGATGAAAAAAAATATTAAATTATAGAGCTTTGAAATGATTATGCCCTGAACTTTATAATCGTACAAATATATTATGCAGTTGTATTAGAGAAATTATTTATATTAGATGTGAACTTTTCTCAGCGATTTCCGCCATTTTTTCTTATAATTTAACTGTCCTGGGAGACTTGTTAATAGACCTATCCCATTTTTTTTACCTGTGCGACGTGTAAATCAAAAATTGTCTCCCTTATACAAATTTTGCTGGGGAATTCACTTTGTCTATGAGGTCAGTCTGTGGCGAAAATTTGTGACATTTCCAAACGATAAAACCCAATTTGATTTATATTGAACGGTGGATAATTATCGATAACTCTCTCAATGCTTTTCAACTTCGTGCTTTATTTGGCCTTTTTAACGTTTTTTATTCGAGCGTCACTGATGAGTCTTTTGTAGACGACACGCGCGTCTAGCGCAAATACAAAATTGCAACCCTGGTGTCTTTGATGAGTTTATTTGCCTCCTTCTGATAGATGTAGCTTAAAATATTAATAACAGGAGTTACAAATTATAATTCTGTAATTAGTGTTCGATAAAATGGATATTATATTAAGAGCGAAACAGCGTCGAGATTATAAATCAATGACCGAAGGAGTTATAAAAATCGAAAAAAGAGCAAAGAACAGACATACTTTGCATCTTTATATGATGTAGAAAGAATGTTGCCAAGAAAGACTGTCTGAAAGAGGTAATTATTGTTAATATATTTAAAGCAATTAGTTTTTAATTCGTATTTTATTAACTCTAAGCTTAATTTTTTTTCTAGTTCAGTGTATAAAGCACAATAAAAATGTGTAGTCAAAACAGTGTCCTGCAAAGTAAAGAGTTATTGTTATGATTTATACAATATCATTATTATTGATATTTAATACTAGTGAGCTATACAAGTATAACTGTTTTACCCTAACATTCAAAACACATGTTTATACGGTAAAATTCTTTAAATATGCGGTTGAAATTAAAACATTTAAATGAGATATTGAGATTTTACTTCCAAGCAGCACAACATTTTTAAAAAATAGAAGTCAACCCCTCATTCCCCCTCCCAACCCTCAACCCATTCATATACACACACACACACACACACATACACATGCCCGTATTATGGTACTAAATACTTTTTAAGATTTTTGAAAGATTGACATTTAATGATACATAATAAACTACATAAGAAAGCTACACTCTAAATGATCCTGTCCCAAGCCTGAAACCTGTTATTTAGTGGTAACCATTTGTTGCTGTGTATCATATTTTTATTAAATTGTAATAGTTTATTGAAAAACAGATATCTGAACTGAAGAGTGATGTAAGATGTTGGGATTTTGTTGGCTTCCTAAAAAAACACAATCTCTTGCTAATTGGAACCGTTATATTCACCAATAAAATGTAAGCGCAGTTTGAAATTTGTTTATTTACTTCAATCTAAGGATATTATCGTATTGTTCCTGTGCAGGCCTATTTGATAAACATTGCCGTCAACATTTGCAAGATAGAAGCGTAAAATTGGCAATCCTTAAAAGTGATCCTACCCATACTAATGTAAACATCAACTAAGTTGGGAGGGATTTTGAAAAAAATAAATATTTGTCATATACCAATCGTTAAAAAAAGTAAAATCACAAAAATACTAAACTCCGAGGAAAATTCAAAACGGAAAGTCCCTGATCAAATGGCAAAATGAAAAGCTAAAACACATCAAACGAATAGACAACTGTCATATTCCTGACTTGGTACATGCATTTTCTGATGCCGAAAATGGCGGATTAAACCTGGTTTTTACAGTTAGCTTAACCTCTCACTCGCTTGGCAGTCGCAGAAAATTCCATTATATATGTGTAAACAAAACAAACAGACATAATAGGTAAAAATGTCAAAAATAGGGGTACAGCAGTCAACATTGTGTTATTACCTTAATCATTATAAAAACAAACAAATAATTATGTAAACAAACATATTACCATGGTACAATAACAATGACGGTATGTATAAGTACAGAACCACGTGATATGTAACAAAGAAACACAAAAAGGCATATAGACAAAGCATATTAGCCAAAATGAAAGACAAGAATACAAAAATTATCATAGAACAATAACACAATGACGGAATGTATAAGTACAGAGCCACGTCATATGTAAAAAGAAAACATAAAAAGGCATATATACAAAGCATATTAGCAAAAGTTAAAGACAAGAATGCAAAAGTTATCATAGAACAATAACACAATGACGGGATGTATAAATACAGAGCCACGTAAAATGGATACCAGCAAAAACAGACTAAACAGTAAAAGTAATATTCATAAAGAAAAATATGCACACATTGAAATACAAAGATGTCAGAAAAACTGCGCTATATTAACTGTGGACGATTTAATCAAGAAAGCAAGAATGTCATTACAAAGCTTAATGGGGAAAATGATTGGATTTATTAACATTTTTATTTTGTTTTATCTTTTATAAAATTGAACGTTTAATACTGTACTATGAAGACTAAGTGGACCTTTGAAATTAAATTAATTAATGCACTATTATAGGATTAAGCAAGAAAAACGTTTATTTTAATGAAAGACGCCAATGGGAACTTGCAATACACACCAGATGATACAACTTGAAATCTAAATAGGAATACAGAACATTACCCATTTTTGGTGGGTTTTGTGTTGCGAAAGTTTTATATTGGTATTTATTTTTTCGTGAACTTTCTTGTTTCGTAGCTATACTACTGTCTGTTTGTATGGTCTCGATATTGATATAACCTAATGAGATTAATCGTCGGATTCGTACTTCCATGATCAACACGGCGGGTGCCACATGTGAAGCAGAATTGTTTACCATTTCGGAGCACCCCTGTTTTTCTGTAGGGTTCGTGTTGCTCAATCGTTTGTTTTCTTTATTGCGTTATGTGGATTTGGTCGTATTATCATCTGTTTTTGCCATGACGTTGTCAGTATTTCTTTGATTTGCGAATGTTGAATGTCCCCTAGGTACATTCTGCCTTTTTTGTGTCTTTTTTCTATTTATATCATCAAGGAAAGGGAAAACATGTATATTAATTAAAAAGATACCAATTGTATTTACCCCCCAAAAAAATCTTTGTTTAACTGAAACACATAAACAACTTCTAAATCAAGAAAACGGTATATGATGATAAAATTTATGATTAATGCCACCTTTGTACATGTATTAATAAATAAGTACAATAAACTTTCAGAGTTCAAGTGGTTTATTGAGTAATGATAAATAGGTAGGGACGTGTGACGTTATATACTAGTAAACAAAAGAAACTTAACTTTAAACAAACCCAATCAAGGTCAATCGTTGATCCTATTCTCTCTGTAAATTAAAATAAAAAAATAAAACATTTAAGAATATACTTCGACTTTGGCAAGTATTCCAATGATTTAACAACATTTACGCGCAGTTTATTTTGGGTCATCAATGCTCTTCAAATTTGTACTTGTCTGGCTTTCTAACTATTTAGATCCGAGCGTCACTGATGAGTCTTGTGAAGACGACACGCGCGTCTGGCGTATTAAATTATAAGCCTGGTACCTTTGAAAACTATTTACACCACTGGGTCGATGCCACTGCTGGTGGACGTTTCGTCCCCGAGGGTATCACCAGCCCAGTAGTCAGCACTTCGGTGTTGACATAAATATCAATTATATGGTCATTTTTATAAATTTACTGTTTGCAAAAGTATGAATTATTTGAAATACTAAGGATTTTCTTATCCCAGGCATAAATAACCTTAGCCGTATTTGGCACAACTTTTTGGAATTTCGGGTCATCAGTGCTCTTCAACTTTGTACTTGTTTGGTTTTCTAACTATTTAGATCTGAGCGTCACTGACGAGTTTTGTGTAGACAAAACGTGCGTCTGGCGTATTAATTTATAGGCCTGGTACCTTTGATAACTAATTCCAATTAGAACAATTTCTCAAAGATAGAAAGTGATTCTAATGCCGAATCTTCATATGAATATTTAGTGCATCTTAAAAGTATTCTTTTGCCATTGATAATTATTAAGAGTCATTCTCTGTAAGCATCAAAATCATGTGGAAATGACATGTCACAGAATTGGTTCAAAATTTGTAAAAATGTTCTAATCGTTGAGATATGCCAAAATATACATCAAGTTCCGCATAAAATTTTGTGGTTGCTATGGTAACAGCTTGGACAGTTTTCGGTCCATTTTTGTAAGTCAAAAAGGCTAAAAATATGCAATTACAATTGAATGTGTATGGCCTTTCATAAAATAAAAAGGAAAAATATGTTTGTTGTTATGACTAAGTATGGTTATGACATATTCAAAAAATGCATTAAGAAAAATATATTATTTATTAGTTTTGTCAAGAACTTATCCCCAAAAATTGGCAAATTCCTTGTATATTGGGAGTCCCATTTTACCCTGTTTTGAAAGCTTTGAGAATTTTCAACCCAGATTTTCCAGATATAGCTGAATTTATTTTTAAATAGTTGAACCATTGAAAAAGCAAAATACAAAAAATTGGGAGGGGTATATTTGAAAATTTTGCACAAATCAATTTTTTCGAAACCAAGGTTTTGGAAATAACTGTTTCAAATTTTAATACCAATATACTATTTAAATTGATAAAGCTGCTTTATTTGTCTTGAAATTCTTTACACTGCTTTCTGAAAATTTTTTTTTTTTATCAAATCAAGTCAAAAAAGGGTTGAATTTATAAATTGCAATAAAAAAATCCCTTTTAGTTACCTCTGTGTAGCAGGAGTAGCTTCCCCTGAATTACTCTCCAAACAAGATAGTACAAATGTTCTATGTATGTCTGCTGTCAACAAACTTTAATAAGATGACAATATATTTTGTAAAGTAGTATGAATTGTACCATGAATTGTGATTTGTTTAACATAAACAAGACTATTTTTGATAATTCTAATTGCTCATCTGAACTATTTAAATTACAATCATTTCATGAATCAGATATTGTAATTATTTTGACTGAAGCCGGTATTTTGCCACACAACTTTAGACAGTCAGAACTTTCCGTATGTTCCACTCATTCTAATCAATTGCTTAAACGAAATGAAGTTCGGAAGAGGAGAGCTCTGTGTATGGTGCCCAGGGTTATAAGTACCCACCCAGATGTAGACCATTCAGAGAAGGGGTCGGGTCGAGCAGCTAGTATTGGAAAAAGAAAAAGCTCTAAATACTTGGCAGAAAGAGACATAGTTGTTATTCAAAAAAACCTTGGTATCATTTTACCTGTTGGAACTCGTAAGTAAATAATATTAAATGAAGTTATTGAGGTTAATGTAATTGAGGATAGGACCATATTTTTTAACCCTCCCCCCTTTTTTTTTTGAAAACCTGTTATTTTTTCTTTCTTTTAATTTTAGTTATTTTTCAGGTTTTTCTGTATTACCTCAGTTAGATTTGACAAAAATTTCAGGTCCTGAATGCTCTAAAACTTTGCACTTTACCTTTTTTTATCTGAGAGTCACTGATGTCAGTGATGAGTTTTCTTGTCTCAATTCTCAACTTTGACTTAAAATATTCATTATTCACTGTTGCGCTACATGCATTGTTGAATTACTAGGTTGTTCTGGCACTTGTATGGTATTGTTTGTTTTTTAAATAACAGAAGTATTTATTCTATACATAAAAATAAAAGGAGATGTGGAATGATTGAGTGTCATTGAGACAACTATCAACCAAAGTTCAAATAAAGAAGATGTAAGCAATTATAGTCAACGGTACGGCTTTCAACAATGAGAAAAATTCATGCCCCCATTGTTGGCTATAAGAGGCGCAACATAAAAAATATGAAACAATTCAATCCAAAATACTAATGTATTTAATAAAACAGGCACTTTCAATGTTACACTTGGCATAATGTCATTAAAAATGTAAGCTCTTTTTGCAATAATTCTGTAAAAATTTACATGTGTGCCAATTCAAAACACATGTATTAAAGCTAGTTTTACATGTAAGTTTTCTATGCATTTTAACTATTTGTTGTTTCTGATTCAATGACAATGTTATATTTTTGTATTTATCCTCAGCATAATTGATTATCAATCAATAGTTGATGCAAATGTTATTGAAATTACTATGTACATGAACATTTTTTACTTCATGTACTGTAAAAAATTATTTATTTTTTTCTTTCTTTCAGCTTCCTGTGTATCATGTAAAGTCAAAATCAAAGATATGGATGAGATGCCGTCGTCTGTTGATCAGCATTTGAAGGTATTTATTATTGTTTTTCTTCCAATCTTACATGTATTTTATTTTATTTTATAATCCATATCTCGAATACTCAGTAAGAAGCTATGGTTTGATTGTCAATGAGACAACTCTCCACCAGAGACCTGATGACTTAGAAGTTAACAACTATAGGTCATTGTATGGCCTTCAACAATGAACAAACCCATACCACATAAGTCAGATATAAAAGGCCTTAAAATGAGAAATGTTAATCAATTCAAACAAGAAAACTGATTTATGTTCAAACAATGAACAAAAAACAAATATGATGTACATATATATATACAGTTACCACTGAATTTCAGACTTCTGACTTGGGACAGGCACATTGAGAATGTTCATATTGTATTTTTATTACTTTTATCAACAATTTTAAATCCTCTATTACATATCTGGTGTAAAACATTAGCTATGTCATGCATCACTTAAAATATTTCCTGTCAGTTATTTTCAAAACAGTAATTAAAAGAATACTTTTACTGCAGTTACACATGAAGGTTAAATGTATAAATGGGCTGTTTGTTTATTAGCTTATGAAAGCAGTTTAAAGGAAAAAGTTTGTTCATTAATTTAGAAGATTATATTATTATGTATATATAATTAATTAATACATTTTTTGAAGATGCAGGATTCTGAAATTGAAGACAGGATACCTGTTATAGAAGATACCATGTCTAGAAGAATGCAACAGCAGGTAATAAAAGAATTAAGTGTAAAAAATGTTTTAAAATTTTAAATTTGTAAGTAAACAAGAATTTTTGAAGATTGGAGTTATGTCCCTTTTCAATGGTGATGTTTGCAATTTATTATGATTTATGTGACTGCCATAAGTTATTGGTAATTGTTGAAGATTCTTATAATGTCATAGTTGTGGTCTATTATCAGTTAGTTTTCCTTGTGATATCAATTGTTTTAGTTACATTATTAAAAACAAATGTATAATTCCCGGCATCACATACTATTTTGAAGGGCAAAAGGAGTATTAACCTTAAAGTTTCAAGAGGCAAACAATCAAAGACTGTTGCCATCTAAAGACATTACATTAACATCTGTACACATGAAAATATATATAAAGATATAGTCTGCATTTAATTATTTGGATGATTGATTGTTAGTTGCATCCAGTGACAAATAGTTCATGCATGTTCAGAACGGGCATTGAATTGAACCTTACACAGCAGAATGATATATGTACATAATTTGTGGTATTTGTGTAAGCAAAAACAATAATAACTAATGACAACAGGTGAAGAATAAGAAATTATAAGTCTGTCAACATTTGTGTTGTAATTGTTCATCTGATCAGATTAACAATTTCATGTCATTACCACAGTAAAAAATTGATTAACTTCAGTTGATATGAATTTAACCACAATGATCAATGTTAAAAAAAAAAAAAAAGTTGAAATTTTAACTCCCTTTGTTGCAAGAGAATTATTGTTTCTTATAAGAATAGTAGATTAAAATATAGAACTTTAAAAACAGTTGTGATATATGTCGGTAACGTCACTGTAAGCAATTTGTATGTATCATGCATTTATTTATTCCAGGTGACTGAACTTTCACAGAAAAGAGACCACACAAGTTCAGAAGATTTTCATTATTACCTTAGAGAAAATAAACCAAAAATTGTAAGTTTTGTTTCCTACCCAAATTTTAGGGTGCTTGGATGGCCTATCAAGTCTGATGAATAATTTTCTAGAAATTGGAAAGTAATGAAGAAAATTTGATTTGGGCATCCTAATTAACGGACTAACATTTGGCTAGCACTTTGCTCATTCACAGATAGAACAACACTGTTTTTTGTCTCGCCTGTGATGAAAATTGCAGTACACGAGACATAAGGAAAACTGTGCGGTGCTTTCAGTCTGTCATGATTCAGCATCTGCTTGAAAAAATACAATTGTGTTTTTGTGATGTGAATTTTTTACTTATTATGAGTAATAGGATAACTATATGTGGTTAGCGAGTTCCTTGCAACAACAACATGTCGATTGGTTCACCTGACCATGACCTCATTTCATGGATTATTAATCAAGGTTCAAGTTATGTGATTAGGTGATATTCTTTGTATAGAAGCAGTAGGTCAACTATGTGTGGTGTATAAAATAATGATAAAGGGTACATGTCAGTCTGGCAAGCTACATCTTACCTTGACCTTATGTTCATGATTGGTCATTGTTAAGTTTTTCGAATACTATAAGCAGTAGGTAAACCATATTTGGTGTATGGAATGATTGTAAGGTTCTTATATATATGTCAGGCAGGTATCAACTGACTTATAATGACCTCATTTTCATGGTTCAGTGGTCAATGTTAATATTTTTGTGTATTTGTCGGGGATGTTTTTTTCAATAAGCAACAGGTCACTAATATTTTGTATACAGAACTATTGTATTATGTATTTCTAATACTTAAACCTATATCTTGAAGACTTTCAAAATTAAATCTTTGGTGCGTAAAGCAGTGTGTTTTCAAGGAACATAACTCTACTACTTACTTGTTTTGTTTTTATAAAGAGAGATAGCACCACTGCTTATCATGAATTGAAATAAAACATGCCCACTGACCAAATGTTAAATCAATATTTTTTGTTTTATTTTTCAATGCTCTTTACAGGTCCTTCATGATGTCATTGATATTGAAAGTACAGACCATATCAACTTCTCTCAAAGTTTAGAGTCACATGTAAGTAGAGTTGGTAGCTTCTTAATTAAGTCTCCCAAACGAAGTTTGGGAAGACTTATTGTTTTTGCTCAGTTCTTATTATTATTCTTCTTCTTCTTCTTCTTCTTCCGCCGCTTTTAAATTTGAACTTGTCCACACCCGTTCTCCAAAACCACTTGTCAGATTAACCTACGGTTTCACAATATGTTAGACTAACATGTCTAGTGGTGCAATCAGGGTTTTGTTTGTGCAATGGGGTTTATAAAGGGGTACTTTGAGGGGCAAAAAGAAAAGAGGGTTTAACTATAGAACCCTATCGGATTTTATTTTTTTAAATTTTCAAATGATTATAAATTGAAAACCGTTTGTGATAGACACAATCTTTTTAATTGAAAATGTTCTGTATGATAAAGCCCATTAAATGAAATACAGGGTTAGTCCCAAGGGGTCACCCCCACCCCCTGCCATTTAAGAAAGTTCTAATACCTTGTAAGTGGTCAAGATCACCACCCCTAAACCATATATATTCTGGTTTGTCATGATAAAACACATGAAATGAAATACAGGGTTAGTCCCCAGGGGTCATCCCGACCCCCTGCCATTTGAGAAAGTTCTAATATCTTGTAAATGGTCGAGATCCCCACCCCTAAACCATATATATTCTGGTTTGTCATGATAAAGTACATCAAATGAAATACAGGGTTAGTCCCCAGGGGTCACCCCCACCCCATGCCATTTAAGAAGGTTCTAATATCTTGTAAGTGGTCAAAATCCCCACCCCTAAACCATATATATTCTGGTTTGTCAAGCGAAGATGGTTTGAATGATATACAGGGTTAGTCCCCAGGGGTCATCCCGACCCCATGCCATTTGAGAAAGTTCTAATATCTTGTAAATGGTCGAGATCCCCACCCCTAAACCATATATATTCTGGTTTGTCACGATAAATTACATCAAATGAAATACAGGGTTAGTCCCCAGGGGTCACCCCCACCCCATGCCATTTAAGAAAGTTCTAATATCTTGTAAGTGGTCAAGATCCCCACCCCTAAACCATATATATATTCTGGTTTGTCAAGCGAAGATGGTTTGAATGATATACAGGGTTAGTCCCCAGGGGTCATCCCGACCCCCTGCCATTTGAGAAAGTTCTAATATCTTGTAAATGGTCGAGATCCCCACCCCTAAACCATATATATTCCTGTTCGTCATGTCTTGAACATTTGAATGATGTATACTGTCAGTCCCCAGGGGTTCCCTCCACCCCCAATGTTCTAATATCTTGTAAATGGTTGAGATCCCAACCCCTAAACCATATATATTTCTGTTCGTCATGTCTCAAACATTTGAATGACGTATAGGGTCAGTCCCCCCACCCCCAATGTTCTAGTATCTTGTAAATGGTCGAGATCCCCACCCCTAAACCATATATATTCTGGTTTGTCATGTCAAGATGATTTGAATGATATACAGGGTTAGTCCCCAGGCATCACTCATGCAAATAACTTTACTGGACCAAACCAATTTTCACTGGACTTTGCCCAATGTCAGGCAACCCTGGAAATTATGAATTATTGGCGCTTCGTTTGGGAGACTTCGTAACAGCATCCTGTTACAATCATTTCTTGTTTTATATATTCCTACATCATCATATATAAATATGTATGCATCTTTTATAATACAACCATGCAAATAAGTGATAAAAAATGGTGCAGGTCTGTCATCTTCCATGTTGTCATAATCATTTGGATAATGCATTTACTTGGGATGCTAATGCTAATAAAGTTTTATGTTATACAAAAGTAGGATTAGAATATATTGCAACAAGCTATGATTCGAAGTTGCTAAAAAAATATTGATATTTTCAATAACATGTTAAAATTATTGCAAAATATATTTTAAAATTACACCGAATGAACACTGAACACCATTTTTCTTATACATTATTTACACATGTAATATATAAATTAAGGACTTTCACTCAGTCAATGTGTTATATATGGACCTGTTAGATTATATTGATTCGGTCAATATAATCTGAACAGGTCCATATATAATGTATTGACCTTGTCAAAAGTCCATAATTGATAAATATTAGACTATACATTTTCATATACACTTTCTAATTTTAGGAATCTCCCTTCAGTAGTCAGCAAACTTATTTGCAAACAGATAGTCTCACTAAGCTTAATGATTTTTTAAAGACCAAAGGAATTCAGCCATTAGTTTTACCACAACATGCCTGGGGAACATATAGTCAGAAAACAAAGAAATCATTTGTACATAAACTGTTTTCATGTTTCACTGCTGTCACTGAAACAATGTTTCCAAATGAAAGTGATGAAATTCTTAAAGAAATTCTGAAGGCTTCTGAAGTGATTGATAAGGAAACTGACGTGAATTCTGATGTTGAGTTATGTCAAGCTTTGGTTGAATCTTACAAGGTTACAGATTCCTGGCAAGTGAGAAGACAGATTCTATCAGTTATTTGTCAAAAACTGAGTTTTAAAAACACATGTGAACTTATAGATGGTTTGACAGAATACCGATATTGTACAGCTAAAAAACATGCAAGTGTACAAGGTTGTGCATTACCACCAGAACAGGGCAACAAAGGCAGACAGAGAATGGATCCATCCAAGTTGGATAATTTCTTGGATTTTATCACATCGTCTCATATTATAAAGGATCTTCCTTTCGGAGAGAGGAAACTGAAGCTAGCTGATGGAAGATCAGTTGATACACCAAATGTTATCCGATGCATGGCACCAGCAGCAATTATTGACCAGTTTAAGCAGTACTGTAGTGAGAATGAAGTAACGCCATTAGGTAAAAAATTACAAAAGAAGCCAAAGTTGTGTCAAAACTTTGAACAAAAATACTCCTATGAATAGAATTATTACAAATTTGTTATCACATGCATACACTAAACCAACGTCCAAAATGAACCCTATAAAATCTTTTATATAATCACTTAATCAATTAAAAACACTTTTACATTGAAGAGAGTTTTTTTTGTTTAAATAAGTGCAGTCAAATGAACATTTATTGCATACAGAATCAAACAGAGCGTTGTAAAAATGTAGTTTAAATGTCTCTTATCATGTTTATAAAAAAAGCTGTTATATGATACAATGTTGCAAAATATTTATTTTTAAAAACCAACTAGGGTTTGTTCCTTATATCACTAAAAGTATTTTGATAAAGTTTACCTGCATTGCATACATAAAGTTTCATATCAGAGGTCAATGGCAAACATTACATTTATCACATCCTTTACGATCATTTCAAAGAAATTAATTTTAGTGAAATTATTTTTGTATAGGAGATAGTACCATGTTCAAAATTCTGTCTGAATGTGCTGCAACAGTGAGGAAATCCTTGGAAGGTCTGGACTATTACATTACTGAGGGCGTTAGGGCTTTTCAGGACATACAGATATTTTTAGAGGAACTGAGACGAACTGGAGATTTATCAGCAGAAGTATTCAAGCGCCATATGGATGTCCTTCTTGAGTGCAAAAGATACCTGAAAACTGATTACAAGGTAATTTCAGTGTTTTAATTAAAATATCAAGATTTGATAATTAAACACTGCAATTTTGAATGTTCTATAGGGTTCTGTTTTCTTTTTTATTTCAAGTATTTTATTCACATATATATCAAACTGAATTTAAATTCAAGCCTTTTCATAGAAATTAGAAATAACTTGATATATAGCCTATTTATATTTTCTGTCCAATTTAAATGTACTGCAAATTCATTATTATTTGTTGGATACCAATTTTCTTGGATTTGTGGGAACAGGCAAAACACCAATTGTTGTGTAAGGAAGAGTAAAGTATTTGTTTAGGGTAGTTTGTTTTAACTTGAAACTAAAGTTTATTATACATGAATGTATGTTTCAGTATTTGATATTCAGTTGTATTAGCATTATAGTAAAACAAGGGATATTTTATCCATCCATGATACAAAATCAGTACATGCACAGCAAAAAAGCGCACAAAAAGCAAGGAAACACGCTCAAATTGTCGTTCTTTATCTCAGTCACAATGAGGCCTTAAACACGGAGCAAAAACAAATCTAGCCTCACGGCAAGTTTGAGCACATCTCATTTCCATGGAGATGTTTAGCCTTGTACCTTCAGTCATGGTTTATTGACTTTGAATATTTGCATAAATAACAAGTATTGCTATTCAAATAATTTCATCTTTTGCATTTGCATTAAATAATAAAAAGGCAATACTTATCTCTGTGTTTATTTACTTAAAAAGGGTTCTTTGATATTACAGGTTCATATATCTAGTCAGTCTACAGTACCAGACCACTGCAAAGTATTTGCATTATCAGATCATAAAGACCAGAATTTCAATTCAAAATGTTTGCATGAACATGACAGTGTTTGCCAGAATTGTGAACAAATCAGCGAATTTCTTAGTTCTGTCCAACATTTGATTGAAGAAGAAACTATAGATGATCAAGATATATACAGATACAAAATCAATCAGGCAGTCATCAGCATCAACAGCTGGAAGCAACACATTGTAAGGGATCATAGATTTATTCTTACGAGGAAGCTCCGAGCATGCTTGGAGGATGCTCAGAGCTTTTTCAGTAGGCTCTTCTCTGCAGTTTATGTGAAAATAATTATCATGATCCATTAAGATGTCAAACAAATCTACACCACTTCTATAATAAGGAAAGTTGAGCATTATAGAGGAAGCTCAATTAACACCTGTGTAAACAACTGATCTATTCAAATACATTTTGCATGACATTTTACAAATTATAGAAAAGATAAGAAATTCTTCAACAGTACTGTGTAATGCTTGGAAAGAAATCTCAAGTCTCCACAAAAAAGTGAAAGTCATTTAACAAAAAATATACAATTATTATATTTATTAATCATTTCTTTTTTTATAATAAAAAAAATTCTCGAATCTTATAATTAGATGATATGATTTAAATATAGTTTATATTATATAATATGCTACATAAAAGTTATCAAGACACAAACAACAGTCAGGGGGCGATACTAAACAAGTTATTTTTTTTAGTTACTTAATATATATTAATAGGTATTTTTTGTTTTTTTAAATTATTTGATATAAACTCAAAAGTTATTTTAAATGTCAAAAGTGGACTAAATGTAGTTTTTAAGAATTTTTTCATCATTTCATTAAGTAAAATTAAGTATTTATCCAACTTGAGATGAGTATAGAGAGATTACTTTAAAAATAATGACAAAAATATTACTTTTATAAATTATTTTATACATCTTCGAAAAACTAAGCATACTTACAATTATTTAAGGAACATATGTAATTGTTTTTGATAAAGATTTCAAATTATAAATAACTTCAAGTCCTAATTAAATCACAAAGTTCCATCCATTTATATTTGTTCATCTCTAAGATTTTAAAGGAAAATGTTATTTTAATAGCCCCAAGAGACCAATCTATGACCAAGAAGTGAGGCATCAGAAAGGCAATTAGTGTTTCAGGAGGATTTAAATAGTTTTATACTGCATGGGGAAAATAACCAGATGTGAAAATTTGGTAAAGCTTGTAAAACCTGTATGAATGGACACCTATAGAAATAATATTAACAGAAGTTACTTATTCATGATATATAAGTAATATTTGAAACAACCTTGTTTTCAATGTAACTTGTATAAGTAATTTTGAAAATTACTTGTTTAAGTAATGCCCCTAACTATTAAAGCAAAGTTAGTTTTTTATAAAAAAAATTATGGCTACTCTAAGAAAAGTTGAGGAGGTAATATCACCATTGTTTTCCCTCTAGTACGTCTCACTTTAATTGTCATTTTTTTTGTAATTGTACAGATTTGGTTTTATTTTAAATAAAGAAATACTTGGCATAATTATATAAGTGAAGTTTTATCCTGACCTGTACTTGAATGAAAATCTAATATAAAATTGTTTCCCCCTATCAGTCTTTGTTTAATTGGTATTTTTCCAAAAATATGTGCAGAATTTATCTATGTTTTAAATAAAGAAATACTTGACATGAGTACAGTTTTTTCTTGTCCTGTACTATAGTAATAAAACAACATAAATTTTTCAGTGCATATAAGAAAGAAGACATCACCAGAATTAACCAACCAAATTCAATCCCCCTTTTTTTTCCTCTGTTTACAAGCTTTAGTAGCCATGTCCCCTAAAATTGCAAAAATATTTTATATAAAAAACTAACTTTGCTATTTTATAAAAAAAAAATACCATTGTTTAGTTAAGGGCATTACTTAAACTAGTAATTTTCAAAATAACCTATACAAGTTATATTGAAAACAAGGTTGTTTCAAATATTACTTATATATCATGAATAAGTAACTTCTGTTAATATTATTTCTATAGGTGTCCATTCATACAGGTTTTACAAGCTTTACCAAATTTTCACATCTGGTTATTTTCCCCATGCAGTATAAAACTATTTAAATCCTCCTGAAACACTAATAGCCTTTCTGATGCCACACTTCTTGGTCATAGATTGGTCTCTTGGGGCTATTAAAATAACATTTTCCTTCAAAATCTTAGAGATGAACAAATATAAATGGACGGAACCTTGTGATTTAATTAAGACTTCAAGTTATTTATAATTTGAAATATTTATCAAAAACAATTACATATGTTCCTTAAATAATTGTAAGTATGCTTAGTTTTTCGAAGATGTATAAAATAATTTATAAAAGTAATATTTTTGTCATTATTTTTAAAGTAATCTCTCTATACTCATCTCAAGTTGGATAAATACTTAATTTTACTTAATGAAATGATATAAAAATTCTTAAAAACTACATTTAGTCCACTTTTGACATTTAAAATAACAATTGAGATTATATCAAATAATTTAAAAAAACAAAAAATACCCTATTAATATAAGTAACTAAAAAAAATAACTCGTTTAGTATCTCCCCCTGACTGTTGTTTGTGTCTTGATAACTTTTATGTAGCATATTATATAATATAAACTATATTTAAATCATATCATCTAATTATAAGATTTGAGAATTTTTTTTATTATAAAAAAAGAAATGATTATTTTAAAAATATAATAATTGTATATTTTTTGTTAAATGACTTTCACTTTTTGTGGAGACATGAGATTTCTTTCCAAGCATTACACAGTACTGTTGAAGAATTTCTAATCTATTCTATAGTTTTGTAAAATTTCAGGCAAAATGTATTTGAATAGATTAGATGTTTACACAGGTGTTAATTGAGCTTCCTCTATAATGCTCAACTTTCCTTATTATAGAAGTGGTGTAGATTTGATTGACATCTTAATGGATCATGATAATTATTTTCACATAAACTGCAGAGAAGAGCCTACTGAAAAAGCTCTGAGCATCCTCCGAGCATGCTCGGAGCTTCCTCGTAAGAATAAATCTATGATCCCTAAGATCTCGAAATCAAGATGGTGCAAAATCTAAACTGTTAGAAAATATGTCTGCTTCAGAGGTGTTCATAGTATTTGATTGGGCAATGAAATATCTACCCAGAAGGTACCGAGAGGATCAAAGCAACTGGTTTGCCAAGAGGGGTATTAATTGGCACATTAGTATAGTATTTCACAAAACAGAAAATGATTTAGAAAGTCTTGGATTTGTCCACATATTTCAAAATCAAATATCGCAGGATTCCCGTACTACCAGTGCTGTCATCTTAGACACTATCAGAAGTGTGAAGGAAAAGTATCCACAGATAGATGGATTGCATTTATGGTCTGACAATGCAGGATGTTATAAAAGCACTGAAACAATCAGTGCACTGTTCCATAGCGGAGAAGTTACCTCATATAACTTTTGTGAAGCACAGGATGGTAAAGGTGCTTGTGATCGCACTGCTGCTACACTAAAGTCAGGAATAAGACGTTTCCTTAACCAGGGTCATGATGTTGTGACTGCATCACAAATGAAGAAAGTAGGTCATATTGTGTTTTATATGAAATTAAGAAAATGTTGTATGATTGCCAATGGGAAAACTCTACACTAGAGACCAAAAGACAAAGAAGTTAACAACAATAGGTCACTCTATGGCCTTCAACAAGAAGCAAAACCCAAATCACATATAGTTAGCTTTAAAGGGCCCTAAAATGATAAATGTTAAATTAGTCTAATAAGAAAATGAAGGGCCTGATTTATGTACACAAAAAAATCAAAATGAAATTCGAAAAAAAAAACCCAAGAACCATTATATTACAGGCTCCTGACTAAATTACGTACTACTTTGTCAAACCACTGGACAAAACCAAATATAAATTCAGTTAACAGGTTAAAGAGGGGTGTATTTGTCAAATCTTTTTTTTGCAAGTAATTATAGAATGAATTCTAAAAAACAAATATAAAAAAGATGTGGTATGATTGCCAATGAAACAACTCTCCACAAATGACACAGAAATTAACAACTATAGGTCACCGTACGGCCTTCAACAATGAGCAAAGCCCATACCGCATTGTCAGCTATAAAAGGCCCGAGAAAACTAACGGCCCTATTCATGTCCAAAAAATGAACGAAAAACAAATATGTAACACATAAACAAACAACAACTACTGAATTACAGGCTCCTGACTTTGGAGAGGCACATTAGAAACAAGGTTCAACTTAGACAGTTTCAGCTGCCATGTAATATAGCTTTATAAATATTCACTTAACAATGTATTGATAAAAATTGGTAAGAATTTGTCACTAATTGGCACGATTCATAAAATTTTCTAACTTTTTGTTTAAATTGGTATTTGTTATGTTTAGGCAATAGAAACAACTGCCAAGAATGTGAAATATGTTGTAAAAGTAGTTGACTTCAAAGATCAAGTTCCAGTCAGTGTTGCTGTCAAGATGAACATTCCATCTTTATCTACATATAACAACTTCGAGTTTGAGAAAGATTTCATACGAGTATGGAGGCATTTTAACATTGGCAATGGTAACTATATATTCATTTCTGTTTGCCAGAATGTAGGCATATACTTATAATAGTCGTCATGTTTCATTATTAAGGACTGTTCAATAAAGGCAAGGGAGGCACTTTTTAACCCTAATTAATGCAATTCGTTTGTAACGATAATTTTTATTGGACGTTGACAAATATTTTGGAGGGTTAGATTCCACGTTCTACCAGTCTGTAACTTAGAAAGCCACCATTTTAAATTCTGATGTTTTTTGAATTAGTAATTTCTCAAAAAATAAACAAAAAAGTCACATTTTTAGCCTCAAAATCTTCTTTTTGTCAACATTTAAACCATTCTGAAGTTTACGAGAGGTATAAAGACGTCCAGTGTTTATGTTTGACATCGAGAGTATACATGTGACGTCCCATTGTTTACATGTTAGATGCAACAGTTTTCGTGGACTTTTTCATTTATGTAATTTTCAGCCAAAATATTTATTAAATGGAATTTATCTTAATATGCTGCATTAGAATGGAGATAACTGTATTGTATTTTAAGCTTGGACTTCATAAAACTTGATTTTATCTGTCACAAATATCCATTTACCTAGCTCCGCTACGCGTCGCTAGCTATATAGGCAGTGATATTGTTTGCCTCAAATAACATCCGAAATTCGGCTTTTTCCCCTTAGAGAAAATTCCCAATTACTAAAAAAAATGGCTTTAAATTCCTCCCAATAAGTTTTACATTTTTCCCAAAAGTGATGGCATTTGTATTAATGAACGTAAATTTCGTATTCATGTTATTATTTTGATATTATGAAAGCGCTTTTGAGATCCAGGTTTCTGATCAGAATCATCACGGTGTTTGTAACACATGTGGTTTTCAATGCATTAAATTTAAGTACCATCATTGTTTCCTTCTCTTTCCTCTCCTCAAAAAGTATCTTTCAGGTTTAAAATGTCTGACAATCAAAATAAACGTGATAAAACTGTGCAAAAAAGACAGTAAAGTTTAGCAAAAAATCGGAGATGTGTTTAAAAAAAATAAACCAACTTCCCAATTTCAATAAAAATTATGCATTTTCCCCCCAAAAAAACGGTAGAGGTAGTTTTGAAAAAAGACAACAATATCACTGATAGGTAAACTGAATTTGCTACAGTAAAATCTACGTTTTACAAAGGCCAAGCTTAAAATACAATACATTTATCTCTTAAATGAATTTAATCATAATGTTCTAATGAATTTGTTTGAAAGTAATAATAAACAAATATTTTTACAGGAAAAGTAATCAAGAAACCTGAAGGTTTTTCTGTGCTGCTTCCTACACTGCAAGTGGTTGAGTCGTCAACACATGATGTCACCTTTCACAGTTTGACAACATCAACAAAAAAAAGTGGAAAGAGTGAAGATGTTTTTGTATGCTCAAATGATGGTTGCATGGCATCTTTTTCTACATATGAGGAATGTCAGGACCATGCAACCATTGATAACTGTGAACTACAGCCAGAGAAAAAAATAAAAGTTGAAGCAGTTAGTCTTTACGTTGAAAAATTAAATAAATCCCATTTTAATTTGAATAACATAGAAATTGCCTCAACAACATCACTATCTGTTTCTCCCAATGTATTGCAGATGGGCTGGTCTTTGAAGGAAGGAAGAAAAAATGTGAGATTTATTGATAAGCAAAAGCAATTCCTTATTGACAAATTTAACAACGGAATAGTATGTGGTCACAAAGAAGATCCTGAAAATGTATCAGAAGCAATGAAATTTTCTACAAACCCAGATGGAAGTAAAATGTTTAGAATGGAGGAATTTCTTACCCCTCAACAGATAATGAGCTTTTTTTCACGGCATGCAAGAAAAAGTGATGCTGCTAGGGAGCTGGTTATTTCGGAACTACAGCAAAGTTTCCAATAACAATCTTAATTAACATTTACTATGGCTGTTTCATTATGCAAAATATGCAAAATATCTGATTTTTGGTTTGTAGAAAATAGATGATCCTAACAAGCAGTTGTACAATTATAATAAATATCTGCAAATACTTTGAAAAGAAATAAGTTATGCCCACAATAATTGTAACCAAACATTATCATGATTAGCATTAGCTATTGAAACTTGCCTAGAAATAAGATAATTATCCATGCCTTCACAAATTTATAGTTGCAAAATTTACAATATGTAACAAAGAACACTTCTTCTTGATGACAAAATATTCAAGGTTAACTTAACTCAAGGAATTTATTTTTTAATTCATATTCTGCATAATACACATGTAATAATTTCAAATTCAAATGACAATTGTCAAACTTTTGGAATATATGATTCAAAATTATTGAAAAATATTGATTTGAATGTAAGCTTCAACAATCAATCATTGATGTAGTTATTATTACTCCCATTATTAACCTTAATTAAATCTATTGTCTTGGTTTTTTTTCTTAAAAGAAAAACATTGTATAATATGCGTTATATCTTTTTAATTTATTGAATTAACAATTTGCATGTATAGAAATTATGATCTTTACAAAAATTGTGTGAACCAAACCATCAACCCTACTGCCAAAAAATTATAAATGAACAACAAATTTCTTCATGATTAAATCGAGTTAGGGTGTTGCCTTTGATATTCTTCAACAACATAATTATAATACAGTCATATCAAATTTGTTTCATACAAACTATTAATCTAAGAATAATTATAAAACCAATCCAATTCATAATTTTTGTTTTATGGATGGAAATATTTGTTTCTTATTTTATTATAAATAAAGTTGTAACTACTGCTGTAAATGATATTTGAAGAATTGAAAAATTATGTTTTTAAATCTAAACTACAAGTTCTTAATGTTACTATGTTGAATTAAAGCCTAGAATACTGTTTGGTTGGTATGCAATATTGGAGAAAGGTCATTGGCCAATAGCGTATCTTTAAAACAGTAGGCTTTTCATTAATGAAAATTAATAATAAAGAATTTTCAGATTGGCAGATTGCAATTTGAGAATAAAAGGCAATTTTTTGAAAGCTTAATATTAAGTTTGATATTCACCATTCAATTTCAATCAATTTCCAACCCCTTGCATTTACAATATATGTCTGTTTGGTTAATTAGAAAATGTAAGGAAAAGGTCGAAAGATTAAGGTCATTTGAAGGATAAAATCACCATTTTTCATATTTATATTTAATTATTATTGACTTATTGAAGCATTCAATGTGTGTTTATTATTTTATTTTCATTTCTTGAACAAAGATGATCATTTGATATGAAAAAATTACAAAATTGACCTGTATATGTTTGGAAATGTATTTAAGGATTAAAAAAAAAAAAAAAAAAAATCAAAAAATGACCTTTTTTCAATCAAAATTTAAAAAAAAACAAAAAATATACCCTCTGGGATATTTTTGTCAAGAATGCACCAGATGCAATATTACAAAGTGTATATATCAGTTTATGCCACAAAATCCGGAATAAAATTTTTTTAAACCATAAAGATGAGTTTTTTGGTGAATTTTTGCTAATCATGATTTCTGTAAAAACCTCAGATTTTTAAATTGAAAATTTTTATATAAGTTGAAACAATTTTCCAAACATTCAAATGTTATTTTGTAACATTTATATATGTTATTGAATAGAAAAAGAAACAATGGCAATATGTTTTCAGATTTTGTTGCAATAAAAGTGGTAAAAACATGAAAATATTGACTTTTCATTGAGCATATTTGACGTTTTTCAAGCAAATTCGGAGTTTCTTGTTTCCATGGCAACCAACACTTCAACTCTCTGAATGAAAGTTATTTTTGTTGTTAGTGCACCATAACAAACCTCTGATGTAAAAATAAAGGAAATCCTGGAGTATGCATTTCTCATTTTCTTTGTAATTCTTTGATGCTTACAGAGAATGACTCTTAAAGTTTTCAGTCAAATAAAAATATTCTCCAACTAGATGACGTTCACGTCAAAGTCAAAATGCTATAAATTTTTTCCATGCAGTTACGTTCCCTAGTGGGAAAACAATAGTTTACGGAAGACTAAACTTCTAAATATGCATGTTCATTATTAACTTCAATATTTTACCACAAGTCATAAAACATTGTTAAAGTAAAGGTTTAGTGTTGACCTGACATATATTATTTGGCATACTTATCTAAGGTATATAATGTATAAGAATCTGCATATTACGTCTTACTTCAAGTTAGAATAACTCGAATTTGCCAGAAAAAAATATCATGTAAAAATAATTCAAAAGTGGCATATGTTTAATTGTCTGTTTCTGGTTAGTTCTATGTATATCTGATATGCTGGATTGTATTTTGTAAGAACAATGTCGATAACCTAGACGTGTTCTTCAACATTGAAATTTAGTAATTGCAACTCGAAATGAAATCAAAATGCACTTGACGCCTTCGCATTGCGTACAAATTAGAAGATATTTTTTTTCAATGTTTCCCCGTTGAATGTATACAAACATGCCCTTTTACTATCCAAACTTTACCTAAAAACAACAATGACAACATGATTGATAAAAAAATCAAACAAATTAAAGCAAATAAAATTTAAAAATTTAAAAAGTATAGGTCCGCTATGCAGCTGTAGTGAAATGGTCACGTGTTGCGTCACCAGAGTGGTGACGACATATCAAACTGTTGTGGCATCTACATTGCTGACAACATAATGTAAGAAATCAATGTTCGATTGATTGATGTTTGTGCAAGTTGCATATTTCTTATGTAATTTAATATCGAAAAACAGTTTTATACAAAATACAGACATATTGGTCAAAGTAGGTCAACCTATATTCAAGACTGGAATACAAGGGTATGTTAGAAAGAGACAAATAAGTTTGCTTTATAAAAGGTCACATTAAAACCCTGTATTTTTTTTATAGTGTTCAATAATTTACATTGAACTTGGCACTCTGTTGTTTTTTTTTTTATTTCGTCACTAGCTTACAACCAATATCAAAATTTTAAGCATAAAGAAGTACAGTGGTCACTTGTCACTTAGTACAACCCTTCATTTTATCCCATCTTCAATAGTACTCCACGTTTAGCTTTTAGCTTTCCTCTATCTAAAAAGTAAAATCACAAAAATACTGAACTCCAAGGAAAATTTAATCGGAAAGTCCCTAATCACATGGCAAAATCAAATGACAAAACACATCAGAAACGAATGGACAACAACTGTCATATTCCTGACTTGGTACAGGCATTTTCAAATGTAGAAAATGGTGGATTGAACCTGGTTTCATTGCGCTAAACCTCTCACTTTTTTGACAGTCGCATCAAATTCCGTTATTTTTACAACGATGCGTGAACAAAACAGACATAATCGGTAAAATAGTCAAAATAAGGTTACATCAGTCATCACTGTTTTACAATCCCAAGACAAACAAACATATACAAAAAAACACAAAAAGCATCTATCAAATTATTCCTTGTTTCGCGTGTTGGGCGTCAGAAAATGCAAACGTCACAAAAAAGAAATTTTGTCGTTCAATGTCTATTCAAAACAATTATAATTTCACCTGGAGATTGGGGGTATGCAGGGTTATAATTTCAAAAGTTATTTTAGAATAAATTACAGAAACAGACCGAGATTAAAAATTATCCAGCAGTTCTTTTGAATTTTTAAGAATCCATATATGGTCAATACTACTACGTGTATGAAATAATTTTGTCGTTTGTCGTTCAAAGTATTATCAAATTTATAACAGAACAATAACATAATGACATATAATAGAACAATAACATAATGACATATAATAGAACAATAACATAATGCCGGGATCTTTAAAAGTACAGAGTCACGTTATTGTTATTTGTTTATTAATTTTTCGCATGCAACTCTTTCGTCTGCATAAGATTTCTGAATTACAGGTCAGAGAAAGGGTTTCTAAATAAATCGAATATGCATCATTAATAGTTTTGAAATCAGAGATTTTGTGAATACTTTCTATAACTGATTTCTGTGTTAATTGTTTGGGAAACTACACAATTATATACCTCATAGATTTATTTTCTAAGATAATAAAAACAAAAGAAAGTCGATTGTTTCCGTACTCAATCTGTATATCATGCTGATTAGGATTTTTATAGAAAAGAAAGAACTGTCCAAAAAGTAAACAAAACATATACCATGTATACCCAACAGATACGATAAAAACAACATATACACTCGGCGATTAAATTGTGATTTTCGTTTTATCAAATTAAATCATGTGTACTCATGCACATTTGATACCGCGTCTTGTATTTGATTACAATACAATGCCATTGCTTTTGACAAAAATATAGTAAAACTGATACTAAAAGCCAACATATCATGAATTACCAGAATATCATAAGACTGTCAGAATTTCCAGATATTTCGTTAGTTATTCCCTCTTTGGTAAAAACAAGGAAGAATTAAAATACGAAATACTGAAAATATAAGACTTCCCGTTCATGTAAATAGAGACGAAATATTTGAAACAAAACACCATTTACCTTTGTTTACTAATTATTAATAGTCGTATACAATACAAAGGGGATACATGTTCATTCATTTTTTGTTGAAGTATGCTTAAGAGGACATTTGTAATATTTAAAGGTCTTCAACAAGTAGAATGTGAATTAAATCGTGTATTTATTATTATATTTTAAGTGTACATAATTCAAAACAATGCCAATGCAAAACGTAGATATTATTTATATTTACTTTTCGAAAACCCCAAGTCTATACATCGAGACTAGCTTATGTACATCAAAGTAGTATATAAAGCCAAATATCTGCATAATATACGAAGCCCTTGTGAATGTCCTGGTGATTAATGGTGAAACATCATGGAAGGTAAGATTTAACTAAATTATGTTGTTCAATGCTGATTTTGTAAAATTAATGTAAATTTATTTCCAATGATACTGTTTTATTAAAAACAATGTGACAATGCAATAATACGTTTGATTATCGCATTTTATGCTGAAAAATATATGCATCTTATTCACTATAATGTCAAATCAGCGTCTTTATTTATTTTGTCAAACAATATTTAAATGACATGCACATAGCCGTTTTAAAAATTACCGGTGAATTCTTATGGACTGATGTATAGTTAGTTATTCATGTTAAACTGTATTCGCTAATACTAAATCATAAAAAGCATCAGGATAAAACTCATTCGATAAATGGAACATTTGGAAGTTCTAATCAAATGGAGGATATAATCATTATGTTGAAGTAGTTCAATTATTAATTGGAAAGGTGTCGGATTTTGTTGAGATTGGCACTCGTCAGACATGAATATATAACTAGCTTTTGCTAAAAGACAAAATTTCAAGTCATGATCATATAAGTCACATCCACTGAGAACGGATTATAACACTAGAATTGAAAATACTGTTTTGCTTAATTTAATAACACTTGGGCTGTTAACTGCGTTTTCTGACTTTTTTCATCTTTTGTTTGTATATATTTATAAATACATATTCCAAACTATAATTTTAACTGAATTCACAATTTATCACTAACTAGTATACAAAACCGTTTCTATCACATTATTTTGACTTATAAAAATAAGAAGATGTTATATGATTGTCAATGAGAAAACTCTCCAGAAGAGACGAAATGACACAGAAATAACAACTATATGTCACCGTACGGACTTCAACAACTAGCAAAGCTCATACCGCATAGTCAGCTATAAAAGGCCCCGCAATGAAAAATGAAAAACAATTCAATTGATGTCACTTTAGTGTCTTTTTGGTCTTTTTAAAAATAAATGAAATACTAGTACACATGAAACATATCATATTAAACTAGATCAAATCTATTATCTAATATTGAATTTATAATTCATTTCATTTTTTACTCATCTCAGGGGAATAATCTGGATAGTTATGAATAAAATTAATTCGAGTACTTAAGTCAGAAAACAACTGATTTATTGATAAATTGTAATTGGTCATACGTAAGCCTTGAGTTAAGTGTGATAAAACTTATATCAGTAGTATGTGTCGTTTATCTTTCTGGTAAGTGACAACCATACCACCCCCTTATTTTATATTAATTTTGGATAAGATATTGAATGTTAATACTAAACTTTTTGATATATCACTCAGCTAAGTGATACTCGAACATTTATATCGATTTCATTTTGTGTTCCTTTAATGATTTTGTTGACATTTGAGAAATATTGTACACGTTGCACTTTAATGAAAGGACGGATTACAATTTGTTTTTACGATGTTAGAATATGATATGTTAATGAGATACATTTTTCATTATAATAAGTAATAAGAACTTATCATTTGGGTACTTGTTTATATTTTTTTTAAATATCAGGTAATTATTTAGATCATATCAAGA